TCTTCTTTTTCTCGTTTCTGTTCTCTTTCTCGTTCTTCTCTTTCTCGTTTCTCTTCTCTTTCTCGTTCTTCTTTTTCTCGTTTCTCTTCTCTTTCTCTTTCTGCTTTCCTTTCTTCTAATTCTAAACGCCTCATCGCCAATTCTTTTCTTTTAATTCTCGTTCCATTTCTAATTTCTTCCATTCTATTTCACGATTTATTTCTAGGGCACGCATTTTGACTGTTAGGAAGCTGATATTAAGCTCACCTGCATCACTGTCAACGTCGCTGCCCTTATCTTCCTTTTCCGTGGAAGCTATTTCCTCACCTTCCTTTGTACTAGGAGCCTCGCCTTCCTGTTTCTCTTCTGCCTTCAAGTGCCGGTGAACCTTGGACAAGATCTCCACACGGGAATCACTGGCACGGATCTTGATCTCCAGGTAGGCGCTCACTAGTACAAGTTCCGGTTTACTCAGATACTTTAATCTGGCAAGACAGTCCTCTCTGTTCAGAAAAGCCTGAACATCGTCCAGATCATCGATGGTAGCTTTTTCTGCCATTGTCACAGATGGAACACTTCAACTAGCACTTAACACACCGCTTTCACTTTAGCACTTAACGCACCGAGCACTGTTCTACGCCAATATTGCACTTTATCGCACCAAACACTGCACTTGCCAATATTGCACGTAATTACTTCGGGCACCACACTACGCAATATTGCACTGAATCACAGCGAACACTTCGCTCTACAATATTGCACTGAATCACTGAGCACCGCACTACTCAATATTGCACTTAATCGCTTAATCACAGCGAGCACCGCACTGCACAATATCGCACTTAGTCACTCTTGAGCACCGCACAGGACGTATAACGTCACAATCGTCACACAGGGGGAATTATATACAGGGATTACGCCACTTCACCACCCCTGTCAAACATACTTAACAAGGGGACGGATCCCGCTGGGGATGCCAATTATGTTACGGCCCTCTCGGGACGCAACGGGGTTCTTACTCTGATGTTGTTAGAGGAAGTTGTATCCGACCCCAAGCCAGTAGTGGCTTTCAAGGGATGTGATCCGTGACGCAAGAAACTTAAAGGGGAAGGGAAAGAAAGTTAAGAACTTAAGACTATAATGATACCATCACCAATAAATAATATATAAAAGTAACACAGGGGGAGGGGTATTAACACTGTACAGGGGAAAATACACAATAGTCTTCTGCTGAAGACTCTGGATCCAGGCTCTCGGTGCTAAGTCCTCGGTGCTTTCGTGGTCTCTTGACGAATCCTTCGACCAAGCTGAGTCTACCCTGACCACAGGTCAGCCAAAACACAGGTCCACTGGGGGCACCGCCGTGGAGGCCGTCAACCACACGTCCAGCAGGTCTGCTGGCAGGTTCCGGATCAGCAAGGCTGGTCAGGCCACTCCACGGGCGATATAAGGGTAACGCCCTAGACAGGAGCCTCGTGTGATACCACAAATCACTCTCCTGTCCTCAGTACCCCAGTGGATAATCGTCTCCAGCAGTCGGTCCCGGGTAATCCTTCTACTGCCACTCCACTGGCAGGGTAACACCACAGTGTTCTTCCGGGGGACGACTTCACAGCTGCTGCAGCAAAGCACAAGGTATGGAGACGGCTGCCTTGGGTAGACTGACTCAACTTCCATCACAGCAGTCCCAGGTCGACTCTGTAAGCAGACACGTCATCAATAACTGGGACACACTAAGGCACCTCACTTACAGGCTCAGACACAAACGCCCACCTATCCACTCCATAGATGGCGCTGGTGTCTGAGCACCACCTCACCAGAGGTCAGCAGCGGCTGTGTTGAGCGCTGAACAGGACTGGAAACTGGCCCTCGTAGCCAGTACACGTCGTCCTCACCAGGTGTCGTCGTCCGTTTGGAGGGGGTTTCGGGAGCCGACCCACAGATGGCGCGGTCGTCACTGCTCCGTGCTCGGACGCTGGATCCGGGTTCGTAACATTTTCTCATCCAATTTTTCACTTCCCTTTGAACATTCCTGTTATCTCACCTATTTTTCAAAAGCACCATACCTTTATGTTCTCTGGGACACCACTCACTATCATCATCCTGTACCACAATACTTAGGATTATTGAAATATGCTGGAGCTCCTCTTGTCTGCCTCTTGGGAAAGAACTTGGGATAAGAACTTGTGTGTGTGTGTGTGTGTGTGTGTGTGTGTGTGTGTGTGTGTGTGTGTGTGTGTGTGTGTGTGTGTGTGTGTGTGTGTGTGTGTGTGTGTGTGTGTGTTTGTGTGTGCATACATGTTTCATTGAGTAGTGCTCTTGCATCTGGGTTTAATTGGAAGAAGAGTTCTCCAAAAGTCATCTTCGTTTAAGGTGAAGAAAACTAAATAAATAACTGTAGACTGTATTACACTTATTATGAAATTACACAACGTTTAGAACCAACATGTTCACTCTCAAGTGATAGGAAAGTACAAAGCATATTGGATATATACCATTATGGTGGTCAGGTGTAGGCAAATATACCAATACAAATGGGTCAAGAATAAGGCATAAAGGGGAGGCGTTAAAGTTTCATGAAAAAAGGCGAAAATGGGGTCCGATTCACATACAAAGATTAACCAGATATAGTGGGCTTGGCATGTTGAGCAGTGTCTTCTATGTTGGCATCTTGATGTTCCAGTTTCCTTCTTACTCTCATGGTGGGTAAAGTGAATAGTTCCGTAATTTGGGTATTTATGGTGGGTTGTTCTACTTTTATGTGGATTGCTTCCTGCTTCCTTCCAAAACCCAGGATTACATCCTGGGTTTTGTCTATTATACATGTGTTTTTATTCAACATTTCTCTTCTTAGGGTGATGTCATAGGCTTGTCTCTTGTGATTTTTTGGGGCACCTGATTGAAGATGACCGGTGAAACGTCTCGTCAGCTTGGTCGACGTTATGCCTATGTACTTAGACTTAAGGCTACATCCTTCGTTGGGGGTAAGTGTACATATATACCACCTTTGACTGTTGTAAAGGGTTCTCCGTCGGTTTTGGACTGTTTTAATAAGGAGGTCGGTAGTCTTCTTTGTATTACAGAATATGATTAAGTCTATGTTTTGATTAGGGATTATGCTTTTTACTCCTTTATGGATTATTTCATTCCTTATTCGTTCGTCTTTTTTATGTTCACTGTGCATGGTTAACTAGTAATATAATTTTATTGAAGGTGTTTTGGTTTCTGTTCTTGGTTCAGGATTGTACCATCGGTCCAGGTGTCGTCTTATAGTAGTGTTTATGTCTGTGTTGCTATATCCATTGTTCACCAACACCTGAGTTATTCTTTCAAACTCTCTACTCGTGTTGCTTCATTCAGAACAGTGGCTAAGGGCTCGACGAATATAAACGTTGAGCACAATGTCTTTGTATCTTTGGGGGCACTCACTCCTACTGTTTAGGCATAACCCAATGTTTGTAGGCTTAGTATATGCGCTGGTGCTTAGCGATGGTTCTGTTTTTGTTATTAGTACATCCAGGAATGGCAGACTATTATTTTCACTATTTTCATATGTAAAACGAAGTACTGACTCTCTCTCTAGATGGCTTTTTAGGTCGGTTAGTTCATCTGGGTCTTTTACTATGAGGAATATATCATCTACACAAAGGCAGTATACAATTGATTTTTGCCTACTACTGAAGACTTTCTCTTCGATGGTTGCCATGTAAAAATTAGCGAATGACACTCCTAAAGGGAAGCCCATTGTTACCCCATCTATTTGTAGATACATGTCCCCTTGCGGACTGTTGAAGTGGTTCCTTCTTTGTACATGCCTCGAGAAGGCTCTTCAAGTGTGGCGCGGGTGTGTCTAATTTGGGGGTACTCTCGTCTGTATATACTGTGCCCAGTATCATTTCTATGGTGGTGTCGACTGGGACGTTGGTGAATAGGGATTCGGCGTCCAGTGAAGCAATAATTCCATCGGGCTGTGTAGTTTTGAATATTTCTAGGAAATCTACTAAGACGAGGAGCAGCAGTGGGCGAGGTTCTCCCCCAGCAGGGTGAGGGTGTTACTGAGGCGAGGAGCAGCAGTGGGCGAGGTTCTCCCCCAGCAGGGTGAGGAAGGTGTTACTGAGGCGAGGAGCAACAGTGGGCGAGGTTCTCCCCCAGCAGGGTGAGGAAGGTGTTACTGAGGCGAGGAGCAACAGTGGGCGAGGTTCTCCCCCAGCAGGGTGAGGGTGTTACTGAGGCGAGGAGCAGCAGTGGGCGAGGTTCTCCCCCAGCAGGGTGAGGAAGGTGTTACTGAGGCGAGGAGCAACAGTGGGCGAGGTTCTCCCCCAGCAGGGTGAGGAAGGTGTTACTGAGGCGAGGAGCAACAGTGGGCGAGGTTCTCCCCCAGCAAGGTGAGGAAGGTGTTACTGAGGCGAGGAGCAACAGTGGGCGAGGTTCTCCCCCAGCAGGGTGAGGAAGGTGTTACTGAGGCGAGGAGCAACAGTGGGCGAGGTTCTCCCCCAGCATTGTGAGGAAGGTGTTACTGAGGCGAGGAGCAGCAGTGGGCGAGGTTCTCCCCCAGCAGGGTGAGGAAGGTGTTACTGAGGCGAGGAGCCGCAGTGGGAGAGGTTCTCCCCCAGCAGGGCGAGGAAGGTGTTACTGAGGCGAGGAGCCGCAGTGGGCGAGGTTCTACCCCAGCAGGGTGAGGAAGGTGTTACTGAGGCGAGGAGGAGCAGCAGTGGGCGAGGTTCTCCCCCAGCAGGGTGAGGAAGGCGAGGCCGTATCCAAGAAACATAAGGTAAAAGGCGCCTTGCAGGTGGTGGAGCCCCAACACAATTTCGCTGTTTTCGTCCTGCTAATAAGAAGATGAAGTATTATTAATATAAAGACTATATATAATAACATATAATCTATAAGCATATAGAAATATTATTAATAATTTTTGTATATACTTGCTCCTAGAAAATTACTCATAAAAATTATTTATGGTATAGGGAATTATAATACAAATTTCAGGTCATTTAATGCCCAAATGCATTAACATTACTTTAAAAAGATATCTCAACAGTTGACTTAAGATATAAACCGGCCTTGGGAGTGTCCTGTCCTGCCAGGGTGGCCGAAGACGCTCCTGCCCTCGTCTGTCTGATCTTCTTGGCTATTACATCGTTGGTCCAGACGCCCATTATCCCAGTGTTCACCAGCCGGGCCATTAGGGTACTGAACCTGGTGTAGAATGGTGCTCCCTTTCTGTAAACACACAATATTATCTCAGGGGTCCGCCACGTTGTCAGAGAATACTACAGACAGCACCATAGCAAACATAACAACATTCCAGCAACACAAGAGCAACGTTGAGTAACATTACTGTAAGGTTTTCTGTTTGCTGGCAATTGCTTCCTGATAAATATATGTATAATACATGAAATAAAAGCTATTATTTTAAAAACACCTGTGATACGAAGGTAATTACATTTATGCTCATAATCATTAATTCATGTTATTGTGTATCTAGACCAGACCACACACTAGAAGTTGAAGGGACGACGACGTTTCGGCCCGTCCTGGACCATTCTCAAGTCGATTGTGATGAGGACAGGTAGGGACAGGCAATAAATAGGCAAGAGAGAGCTGAGGAGGAAAGTAAGGTGTAGGGGATATTAGTAATAATGAGAACTGCAGAAGGCCTATTGGCCCATACGAGGCAGCTCCTATTACAACCACCGAAGGAGATAGTAATAGGAATAAGAAGAAGAAGAGGATAGCAAGGGAGTGTAGGAGAAGACAATGCACAGAAAAAGGGAGAAGAGAGAAAGAAAAGGAAAGAGAAAAAGAAAGAAAATGGAAGGGGTAAGCTTATGTTAAGTCACGTTTGTTAGAAAGATTAGAGCATTTGAGTATATACTGTGAAAGGGAAGAGTCCACAGCAACAAAGCCAGGACTCAAGTTCATGTTGGGTACATTGTGTATAAGAGCCGATTCTACAAGATGGCGTCTGTGTAGAGTAGAGGCAGGAAAGATTATTTTGGAGGAGGACCAATCAATGGGATGATTAGAATCCCTCACATGGCAGAAGAGAGCATTGTTAGTGTCTGCAGACTTAACACTTCTCTTATGTTCTTTAAGTCTGTCATTCAGTGTACGGCCAGTTTCGCCAAAGTATTGGAGAGGACAAGATGAACAGGAAATAGAGTAGACACCAGCAGCATTAGAAGCAGGAGGAGCAGTGTGAACTAGATTACTACGAAGTGTGTTAGTTTGTCGAAAGGCGAGTTTAATGTCAAGAGGACGAAAGGTATTGGTAAAAGTTTTGAGTTCAGATATGAAGGGAAGGCATAGTACAGTGCTACTAGTGTTGGAAGCAGGTTTAGGATGAAAGAAATTTCGTTTAGCTTGAGAGTAGGCACAGTTGATGAAATGCAAAGGATAACCAAGGCGAGAGAATGATTTCTTTAACCGCAAACTAAGACAGCTCTCTAGTCATTGCCCTCCTGACTTTGATCTCATTAAACGTTTCCGTGTCATCTGCCCTTCTCTTCCATATTTCTATGGTCTTCCTAAGACTCATAAACCTGGTGTTCCTCTTCGTCCTATCATTTCTTCACGGGGCTCTGTCAGCTATCCTCTTGCCTCCTGGCTCGCTAAAACCCTGACACCTTACCTTGGCACTTTTTTCCCTGCCCACCTTCGTCACTCTCAAGACTTCATAGAAAGACTGCGCCTGCAACCCTCTTGTAAGATGCTTAGTCTTGATGTAGACTCTCTGTTCACTAATGTTCCGCTCGATGACGTTCTCTCTTTCCTTAGACAGAAGGCGTCAGAGGGCCTCCTTCCTCTCCCACTTCCCACTGACGTTTTCCTCGATCTCATTAGGCTCTGTGTTGAATCTAACTCTTTCTCTTTCAACGGTAAATATTACACTCAAACTTTCGGTGTCGCTATGGGTTCCCCTCTCTCCCCTGTTCTTGCTAATTTCTACATGGAATACTTCGAAACTGTTCTTCTTCCTTCTATTGACACTCGTCCCTCTCTCTGGCTTCGCTATGTTGATGACATTTTTGCTTTATGGCCTCATGACCTTAATTTTTTCCAGCCTTTCCTCGCCTCTCTTAACAATCTGGCTCCTTCTATCCATTTCAAAGTTGAGTGGGAATCTAATTCCCTCCTTCCTTTTCTTGATGTTCATGTTCACATCTCTGTGTCTGGGTTCTCTTTCTCTGTCTACCGTAAACCCATGCATAGTAGCATGTACATTCACTTCTTTTCCTACCATCCTCCTTCTGTTAAGAAAAGTGTCCTCGTCTCTCTCTTCCTCCGCGCTCTACGCATCAGCGACCCTCAGTTTCTTGATTCTGAAATTGCCTTTATCTACAAATCATTCTCTCGCCTTGGTTATCCTTTGCATTTCATCAACTGTGCCTACTCTCAAGCTAAACGAAATTTCTTTCATCCTAAACCTGCTTCCAACACTAGTAGCACTGTACTATGCCTTCCCTTCATATCTGAACTCAAAACTTTTACCAATACCTTTCGTCCTCTTGACATTAAACTCGCCTTTCGACAAACTAACACACTTCGTAGTAATCTAGTTCACACTGCTCCTCCTGCTTCTAATGCTGCTGGTGTCTACTCTATTTCCTGTTCATCTTGTCCTCTCCAATACTTTGGCGAAACTGGCCGTACACTGAATGACAGACTTAAAGAACATAAGAGAAGTGTTAAGTCTGCAGACACTAACAATGCTCTCTTCTGCCATGTGAGGGATTCTAATCATCCCATTGATTGGTCCTCCTCCAAAATAATCTTTCCTGCCTCTACTCTACACAGACGCCGTCTTGTAGAATCGGCTCTTATACACAATGTACCCAACATGAACTTGAGTCCTGGCTTTGTTGCTGTGGACTCTTCCCTTTCACAGTATATACTCAAATGCTCTAATCTTTCTAACAAACGTGACTTAACATAAGCTTACCCCTTCCATTTTCTTTCTTTTTCTCTTTCATTTTCTTTCTCTCTTCTCCCTTTTTCTGTGCAATGTCTTCTCCTACACTCCCTTGCTATCCTCTTCTTCTTCTTATTCCTATTACTATCTCCTTCGGTGGTTGTAATAGGAGCTGCCTCGTATGGGCCAATAGGCCTTCTGCAGTTCTCATTATTACTAATATCCCCTACACCTTACTTTCCTCCTCAGCTCTCTCTTGCCTATTTATTGCCTGTTCCTACCTGTCCTCATCACAATCGACTTGAGAATGGTCCAGGACGGGCCGAAACGTCGTCGTCCCTTCAACTTCTAGTGTGTGGTCTGGTCTACATACTTCAGCCACGTTATTGTGACTCATCGCCTGCTTATTGTGTATCTAGTTGGTGCCTCTTGAAGTTGCAGTGCCATGATAGTTTAAACCGGGGATGAGTTAGTAACTTGTAAGTTCTCTAAGGACCATTTAAAAGACTGGTTCTTCAAGGTGATTCTAACTCAGAAACTGCATAGTGAAACTACACACACGTGGTGCTTGGTTATACATGTGACACTTACATGGCTCCACACGTGTGGCACTTGGCTACACGCGTGTGGCACATGGAAACATGCATGTGTCATCCCATGTCTATTACACTTGACATTTCAAGTTATTACTCAATATATAGATCTTATATATAATATGTAAAGTATGTGTATTAACCCCCTCCCAAACATCGTCACATATACACTCTACCTACAACGCACTCACCTGAATCCCCAACCATAGTCCGGCAGGGAGTAGACTCCACTCTGGCTGATGTAGAAGGGAATCTGTCCTCTGGCGTCAGCGTAGAGTGAAGGAACCACTACAGTCAAGTGGTTCTTCATGCTGATGTAGGCGTACCTACCAGCCTGCACCTTGGTCAGCCCCTGGTCCAGCTCCAGCACCTGGTGTCCCAGTATTTGATGTGAGTATTCTGGTAATGATCACTGTTATGGGAAGTGTGCAGTGCATGTGGAAGATCGGATTAGGATGTTATTGGAGCAATTCAAATATATTTTACAAAAGTTGTAATAAGTATTTTCCTTTTTCTTCCAGTTATCCTTTATTGTAATCACATTATAAGAGGTGTTTATGTAGTTTCTAAATCAATTTAAATGTAAATAAGGAAATTAAGTTAATATAATATTTAGAGGCCTGTCTTATATATTTCTTTCACATGGGCACTTGGAGGACTCGATCCGCCGACCCCACGAGCGTCAAGCAGAAGCTCTATCGATTGAGCTCTGAGTATGACTTCAAGTGCCCAGGTAAATGAAATTGTTATCTATATTTTTATATCTATCTATCTATCTATCTATCTATCTATCTATCTATATATTATTATAGTTTTTGTGTTGGTGGTGTTGTCGTCGTTGATCCTTCTCTACGAACAACCCAACCCACAACTCGGTAGAGTGCTTATACCTCACTAGGAGATCACCCTTGGCGCTTCTGGCTTTTGGAGAGGGGCTCAACGTCACACGTTTAGGGGATGCGGCTCCAACACTTAGCCTCGTTGTCACGTGCACACACCCACTCGAGTCGCTGTGACTCCCCACTCTCTCCTTGTGAGATATGATCTCCTCAATCCCCTATGACTTACTAGTATTACCTTCTACCCTGTCCACAGCAGTGGTTCTTGGTTCTTTCTCTCTCTCTCTCCTTCTTTACTACCTCCTGGGAAGCCTCACTAGGACAAGGGCAAACACCAGCAAATTGGGATACATTTACTGGACAAAGCACATACACGATACGTACACACATATAATAATAATGAATCCTATACTCTATAATATTACAATCAGGTTGCACTCCAACACCATCAGAACTCTATCATCAGCTTATCAAGTGGTATCCTATCTCCTGGTTCACCACCTGATACTATCAACCTCCTCAAGTTGATCAAGTCTACATACACTGTTGCACCATCAGCAAGAGAATATATATATGTATCTATAAATGTGTACAAAGAAAATCAGCATTTGAATGCAATAACATATATCAGTATATATGTTCATTGATACACAATAATGATCAATCGATCACTCTATCAGTCCTAGAACGCATACGTCTGTAGGTAATCCAGCCTACGTCTGTAACTCTAAACTTCAGTGTAAAACACTCCTTGACGTAAGAATGCAAACAACCACTCACCTCTCACTGCGTCTTGCACGTTAATGACAACCAAACACTATCAACTCCCTACAATTAATCCACCAGAACTTCCCTTCCACCTCTGGAAGTTCACTACCCTGATATCTTCAGGTTCTTCTGGGCTTAACTACCAGGATCCTCTGCAGCTCCTCCAGGCTGCTACCATGAAGTTTCCTTGAGCAACTATGGTGCTTCACCCTTCTGCTAGGGTCCTCCACAGCTATCTTGGCTGCTACACCATGAAGTTCCCTCGAGTAACTATGGTGCTTCACCACCTCTAAAGAAGCACGTGACACTCCTCTTCACTGCTTCTCCTCACAGCTCGAGGTTTTCTGCTCCACTACCTTGGACTCCCATCAATTACTTCATCTGGGCTGGCTTCGAAGTTCTCAACAACTTCTTCCCCAAAGACAAACCTGCAACCCATCGACACTCCAATAAAAATGTTTCCCCTTTAACCCATAAACAAAAATAATCACACAATATGTTTGCCTCAAACCTCTATCTGTCCTCTACATACAGTGAGAGTGGACTCCCCCATTTTGGGCGGGCCCATACTCCACCTCGATCGGTGGGCCTCACTCATTCCGGGAGGGGCCTTCGTCCGGAGCTCTCAGTCACCTGCCAGCGCTCAGAGGGGATGGACGTCGCTCCGTGTTCCTCCCTCTCCACTCTCTTATTTTAGGCTTCCTGCCTTATCAAAACATGTCTAACTTATAAATAAACATCGCTACTGTCGCTGGGCACACGACCAACTACAAGCAATCACTATGCCACGGCCCACAATAATGTCTCTGAGCGGCTTAATTCTCTTCTCGTCGACTAGGACTTGAGACCACAACGTTCCCAGCTCGATTCTACAGCTGGCACGTCTACACACTTCTCTTCTCTTCGAGATATATCACTAGGGGGTTCCCTTCTGACGGGAGCTCAACGGAACGCGGCTTTCCCCTTGCGATGTCTGGCCTCAAGTGAGGTCAAAACCCTCCAGAAGCGAGCCTCACGCCTCCAGCAGAATGTCCACATCTCCTAGCCAGTCATTTATCTGTTTTCTTCTTCATTGCCCATAATCTCAAATTGTTATATATATCCAAGCAACTATTTTACATATGTGTTATCACCTCAATATTTGCTAGACCTTCTAATCAGGTCAGGCTTGATGAATAACTCTCAAGGAGGGAGACTCGTTTCTCCTGCAGGCTGAGATCATAACACTCCCCTCCCCTTATTTTGGAGAGTTATTCCAGTGGCAAAGCTCGGGATAATACATCCGCCACCACACTGTCTCGTTTTTCAACCGATTGGTTCGATCGGTTGATCTACTTACGGACTCCCTTAGGAGTTTACAATTAGTTCGTTGCTCCTTGCAACATCTGGCTCACAACTCGCCAGAAACATGATCTTCTCACAAACGATCTGACTTCTCTGGCACCTCTTGGCTAGGCTGTCCTCCTTGGACGCCTGCACTCCATCGGTCCACTCTACTTATTGTTTCCACCCTCCGTTTCCTCGTCTTCTTCTCTTCACGTCCAGAGTCAGACATCTACTGTCTGTACCTAATCTGTCGTCTTCACACTTCCATCTACTGCCGTTATACTTTCGTCTCCTGCCATCATACTTCACTCCCTCGTCTTCACCGACGATCCTCCCTTTCGTCTCCTCATTTATCCGAGACCTCATCCTGTTTGATTTCCATCGAGTCCTCGGCTTTCTTCTATTCCTCCATGCATGCATCATCATCCTCTTCCCACACTTCTCACCTCTATACCACTCCATTTCTTCTCCTTCAACTCTTCTTCGTTCCCTAAAAGTTTCTTCGAACACTGTACTATAGCCAACAGCACTCGACCGTACATGTCGCTCTACCTCTCCAAGAGTGCTCGTAAGCATCTCTTCACACATATTGTCTCTTCCCCTTTCATTTTCTCGGCTATTACTTTTCTTCATTATCTCTCCTCCACGTTGTCTGTGAAACATGTCAACTCCTGACATCTTTCACAACTTAACTCTACTCTCCATATGCCTCTGTGCTCGTGGACCACTTGACGCTCTACTATCGTCCTCCGTATGTCCACATCCTTCCTCATTTCTACTCAGCACAGTTGCATTCACCTTCCAACCCTTAATTTCGGCATTCTGGGCTCTACTCAGGTCCATTCTCTTCACATGAGTCTTCTTCGGCTGGGTCATCTTCACTTTTGACCTCACCGAGACTTCATTTTCCTGGGCTGGGCCTTCATCAAACAGCCACACTATATATCTACGTCGATATCTTCTACCGGTTGAATCGACATTGTCTTATATTCTCCAGCATCTCCCTCGTCGGCCACCTCTGCCTTCGTCACTACCGAGACAGGGTTTTCAATGACTTGGCGGTCTCCTGACTCATCTCCTCGGATGTCAGTCAGGTTCACACTCTCAGGTGTCCCACCCGTGCCGTGGCCTTCTGGGCTCTCCTCTGGCACAGTCTCCGCTATGACTCTTGGCAACACCTTTGTCCCGCACAAGTCATTTCCCAGGATCACTTGGACTCCTGGAACAGGTATGTCGGGGCAGACCCCCAACATCACCTCTGCCGACACATATTCCGACCTTAGCTGGACAGTACATACGGGCATGTCACTCTCAGACAATAACCCATATACCCTCATCTTACTCCTGCCAGCTAATCGTCGATCATTCCCAATCAGGCTTCTCGCAATCAAGCTCTGATTAGCTCCGGTATCTCTTAAGATACCAACTTCTACCTGGGTTGGCCTCCTATACTGATCCAACCTTTGCTCATGAACGGCCTATACCTCTCGTTCACTAAGTTCGCTCTCTGTGGTTTGTCTCGGAACACATTAGTATATTTACTTCGGGGGTCACAACTCTTTTGCCCTGCCGACAGTCTCGCATCACGTGACCCAATCCATTACAATTGTAACATCTCACCTGGGAAAAGTCTCTTCTATATGTACCAGAGTAGCTCTGACTCTGCCCACTCGTATTGGAGTTCCTCGGGCCAGACGTACTACTTGTACTCTGTAGAGCTTTACTGGACTCTTGATTCCCTGGATAACGATTAGTTTCTCGTTTGGCTCCTCCATCCACACTCTCAGACGAAGTGCGCGACCTACTCTTCTGAGTTTTAGGGTACCTACGTGTATCTGCCCATTTATCAAAATTCTTCTCACCCCAGACTCCTCTGGGATTTTCATAATTTCTTCCTCCCCAGACTCTACTGGGTCTGCTATTGCTGCATCTCGCCTCGCTTCTCACTCTGTTCTCCCTGAAGCTCTTGTACGCTTCAGTAATCATATCCGCCCTATCTGCGGCATCTTTCACCTCCTTTATCCCTGCTTCTTGGATCTTGAACTTTGTTTCGGGATGCATCATCTCCAAGAACTTCTCCATGACCATCAGTTGCTTCAGGTCAGCGTAAGATCCAACTCCAGTAGCCTCAATCCACTTATGGAATCGTCTTTCCAGATCTCTTGCTGTTTCAGCAAAAGTACACGCTCCAACCTTCAATATCTCTCTGAAGCGCTTTCTATAAGCTTCTGGGGTTAACTGAAACGAGCGCATAATGCTGCTGTTTACCGTGGCATAATTCTGGCACTCTTCCAGTGACAATTGGGTGTATGCCTCCCTGGCTGCACCGGTCAATCTTAACTGGACCAGCTGGGCCCATTCCTCCTGTGGCCACTCCTTGATCCTGGCTACTTTTTCAAAGTGTTCGAAAAAGTTTTCTGCCTCTTCGGGAACAAAC